TCATAGTCATTTTAGAGCTTTCATAGGCCTCACATCATTGTATTAATCATTGTTATACTGTATGGGTTGGGGGAGGGAGGGGTTCATAACATGAGATAGATAATGGGTTTATATTGCATTACGGTGCGATGTGATGCATATGGACTGAACAATGACGGATCTGTTTTTGGAAGTTTATAAATCCTTAGGTTCTGAACTGGATTTTAAAGTAGCATGGTTTGATTTGTCGATGATTAATGATTCTAATGGTTTTTGGGGTTTTGTTTGATTCTCTTGTATTTTATTGTATGTATTGTACAATCTGATGCTCTGAGGGGAGAAGGAAAATACAATGTCTTCTGAACTGCTGTGAACTAAAGGAAACATTATTATTAATATGATTATAATATTTATTTATTTATTTATTTCCTTTGCACAAGTTGGAATGGCCTTAATTTTGCTTTACTTGCTTCTATTGTGTATTGGCACAAAGTGCACCCATTTGATTTGCAAAAATTACAGTGCTCATTACGATGCTTATAATCCGAGAGTGCACATCAAAGCAGGATGAAAAAAAATAAATATGAAAAGTTCAGCAAATCCTTTTTATTTTTCATTAATCTGAGAAACAATATTTTGCATGAATATAAATACAATGGCAGATATTTTGGCTTGTACAAAAAAATGTGAAGCAATTTGAAGAGAAAAAAAGAATGTACCGTTTCTGCTGTATCTGTATATATCTAAATATTTATTGAAATATGTCATACTACTAATTCTATTAACGATTAAAGGTTTTCTGAACAAAAATCTCTTTACCTGTTTTTGAACATTGTCAAGGTTGTTGGAGTTGGATCTTCTGCTTTCTGTTACTCGACTCAAGGATCTGTGTAATCATTAAAGAAAAAGTATTAAAAATTGCAAATAAACCCTTGCTGTAGGGTGTATTTATTGTCCCTGTGACGGATAGTGTTGATTTATTGATCTTAAAAATGTCTTTAATCATACTTTTCTCTGAGTAGAGTCAAATATGCATGTCTTCCGTATATCTTGCCTGAAATATTTCCTGCCTTCAGTTTGTCCAACAGCACAGCCTCTACT